GGTTACAATTACATGGGCAGGACAATGCATACATTTCTTACCAAGCATTGCAGCCTTAGAATTTGTTTTTTTCTTCAGAATGCCTTTTCTGATTTAAGATTCAAGACAATAACAATATCTATCTTTCAGTTGAGTGGTTACTATGTAATAAGACCTTATCTCACTTAATGCTTACAACAACCTAATATTTTAGGAACAGTTATTATCCCCATGCCGTAGACAGTGAGATGAACAGAAGACACAGAGTTTAAGTAACTTAAACCACTTGCTTGAGGTTATATTATTACCAAATAAAGGGGGCTGAAGGAACATGCTAGTGGTACAGTACTTGCCTATCATGTTTTAGGCCCTGAATTGAATCCCTAAAACCATAAAGATCAAAACTAACAAAATTAATAAAGATAACTTAACTTGGGTAATTCCATTTAACATCTTATTCCAAATTGCTGCTTAATGTCTCTGCTCCAACTTTGAGAAGTACTTTAAGCATTTTTTTCTCTAATGGTAATAAAAAGCATCATAATGTAAAGTAGACCTGCAATATCAAGGCATTTGACATAACTCAGGTATCTATAAGTGCTGACATAATTTCCTCAAGGAGGAAATGAATTTATATATTCATGTTTTAAAAATTGATCTACTTGTGTTCTTTATGAGATTCTTCCTACAGTAACTTAGTTAACAGAATAGAATACTTTTATAGATATTAGATGGTATATAGTTTACGTAGCCTTAAAAAAATAAAAATTCAGTGATACCCAGTTACCCGATGGCTCACATCTATAATCCTAGCTACTAGCTACTGAAATCTGAGGGTGGTGGTTTGAAGCCAGCCTAGGCAAGAAAGCCCATGAGACTCTATCTCCAATAAAGTACCAGAAAAGCCGTAAGTGAAGCTGTGACTTAAGTGGTAGAGTGCTAGCCTTGAGTAAAAGAAGCTCAGGGAGGTTCCTAGGTCTTGAGTTCAAGCTCTAGTACTGACACACACACACACACACACACACACACACACACAAAATTCAGTGGCTTAAATAAGGAATGCAATTATTTCTCTCTAATTAAAGTTGTTGTGGGCCAGTCCAGGTTGTAGGTAGTTTCCCTACAAAGCACATTGAGATCTAGCTTCCTTCCATCTAATTGCTCTGCCAGCCTGTACCCTTTGGAAGCTGTGTTGCCACCCTGCTATGTTTCAGGTGGCAGGAATGGGGAAGGAGAGGCAGTATAGGGCAAGCAATTATCTTTTATGCAAGTAATGTGGAAAGTGAACACATTGCTCCTTCTTACATTCCAGGGAAGAAAACTAAGTCACATGGCCACACCCAGACACAAGGGGAAATGGGAAATGTAGCCTCCAGATGGATGGCTGTGTTCCCAGCTAAAACTCAATTCCAATGAAAGAAGAGAAAAATAGATTTGGAAGGGAGGAGGAGCCAGCAGTCTATCACACATAGGTATGTAGACACTACATACAAATCAATTTCTGATTTTAGCTTTTTAAATTTTGATAGACTCTCTAAAGAATGTCATTTTTGTTTTCCATGACTAGGATGAGAACTAAAATGACTTCAGAACCAAAGCTAATTCCAGTGATTGACTGGTTGAATAATACTAATAATTATTTTTTAATATAGGATTAGTATATAGCTGATTGCTTTGTACTAGGTGAAGGTGATTTGAAATTATGTATGAAAATGGTGTTGTGGGTAACTAACAAAGAGAGTATAGTGAATCCTTACTGTTTTGTTTCCCAAACATCTCTTGACTCTGTCAAACAGCTGTGGCCCTTCTTTAGGAAATAGACCCTCTCTTATTCTTTTATGTTGACTGAGCTAGCTGTACCTTATAAATGCTAGCTTTTCTTTTCTTTTTCCTTTCTTTCTTTTTTTTTTGTCAGTCATGGGGCTTGAACTCTGGGCCTGGATGCTGTACCTCAGCTCTTCAGCTCAAGGTGAGCGCTCTACCACTTGAGCCATAGCACCACTTCTGGTTTTCTGGTGGTTAATTAGAGATAAGAGTCTCATGGACTTTCGTGCCCAGGGTTGGCTTTGAACCGGGATCCTCAAGTCTCAGCCTCCTGAGTAGCTAGGATTATTGGTGTGAGCCACCAGTGCCTAGCTAATGCTTGCTTTTCTTACAGCTACTTTCTGAGAAAAGTTTCCTCCAGTTGTTCCCTCTGCATAGAACTTCTCAGATTCTGTGTGTTCCATGGTGTAGACCCACTAGATGACCCTATCATGGGAGCCTTAGAAACATGAAACATGATTTCTTCCTATGTCTTGTCAGCTAAGGAGAGAACAGTTCCCTGTTGCTGTTGCTAATCTCTGGGCAATATCCCATTCTTTCTGTTATGTCTAGCTCTTTCATCACCTTTCTTTGCCTTTATTGAATTTCCTCTGTTGTAAATGAATGAAGTGGTTTCTATTTTCTTGGTTTTTTTTTTTTTTTTCTCAGCTGATAAAATACTCCTATGCTTATAAGCATTACAGTTCCAGCCACACAAACAGACTGACCAGTGAATTGGCTTTTAATCTCAATTATCTCAGAAAGAGAAACTGATTAGCTTATTTGTTTCACATTTTTTGATGGGGGATTATGATGGGAAAGAAAGAAAAGGTAACTGAAGGATGTGATTGACAGTTCTTATTGTGAACTGGACAAATAGTCCCCAAAGTATCTGCTGCAAGAACATAGAAAAAGGGGCAGATTACCTAAATGGTCCTTAAATGAGAGTGTGTTTCAGTTCAGGCCCTCAGAGAAGCAAGAGAATCAAGATAGGCTTGGGTCCACAAAACTCATACTGAGAGAAAAGCAATGTAGGATAAAGGCAAAATGCAGAGTGTGATTGAGAGTGGGTCAAGGGAGTACCAGATCAGAGTGTAGACCTTTCACTTAGGAAAACTACGGGGAAAAGATGATTGAGGAACTGTGATGTTGAGGCAGGGAAAGAATAGGGAAAGAATGCTGAAACCAAACCTCTCTCCTACTCATACCCTAGGAGACATTCTTGAGTCCTGTCTTCTCCCTAGTACTGCCATAGCCACTCCTCCTCAGGGTTAATTAGTGGTCAGTTTGCATTTAGGACTTCTCTCTAGGAGAGGATAAACTCCTAGGCACTTCTAACCAAACTGTGCAGTGGAACTGCATGAGTCATTCACCTGACCTTTGTCCAAAAACTCCTGCTTAGGACTTCATGCATTTGGGTTGCATCTCATACTTACAACCATGGGATGGCAACCTTGTACATGGACAGATTTATTCCAAAAATCTTCCAAGTCATGATCCCTCATTTCCCTAAACCCAGACCAGTATTATTACCATAAATTCCTCCTATATGCTCCAAACCATAGAAAACTTAAAGTTTTAACCGTGTTTGCTCTTGAGCCAGTTAGCTCAGCCCACTGTTTCCCTGAACAGAATACCTTTTTTCTCACTTATTAAACTACTTGTTTTGTCACTTTTATGTATCTTCATTCAGTTTTTTTGTTGGAGATGCCAAGAATCTGGGATCTTCACGTTTGAGATGACCCACTAGTAAATATTAGTTCTAAGAAAGCTATGGTTGAGATCTGAGTAGAGTTATTTCTGTGGATGCCACAAAGTGTAGCAGAGGAAATGATCTTGTGACTGCATGTGTTTGTATATGTGTTTGTGTATGTGTGTATTGCAAACAGCCTTTTCACATTGGTAGAAACTATACCTTGAATTTTGATCTTTCCCCAGGCTAGTGATAGGAGGGTAAGATTCTTCCTATGCTAGACAGCCATAGTATGCTATATAACCATCTGTCAGCCATGTGATCATGAAGGTAAAGAACTGTCTACAGGGCTGGGAAGGTGGCTTAGTGGTAGAGTGCTTGCCTTGCATTCATGATGCCCTGGGTTCGATTCCTCAGCACCACATAAGCAGAAAAAGGCAGAAGTGGGGCTGTGGCTCAAGTGGTAGAGCACTAGCCTTGAGCTGAAGAGCTGAGGGACAGTGCCCAGGCCCAGAATTCAAACCCCACAACCGACAAAAAAAAAAAAAAGAGAGACAGAGAGAGAGAAAAGAAAGAAATAAGCAAAAGAAAAAAAGAACTGTCTACAGTGTACATAACATGAACTTTCTTCTCTGGATGGAAACTTAACGTCTCATCTTTTCTTGTGAACTTCTAAAGGATTACCCAAATTTTTCCACAAGGCAAGGGAAGAGTTACCCAGACTCCAAGATTATTTAGAGGCGCATTGTCATTCAAAAGGTGAGGGAAACCAGTCCTTAAACTGAAAGGCCCAGGTAGTCCTCAACAGCAGTGACCCTTTAGGCCACAAACAATAGCTCAAAAGACCTAGTTTTTCTCTGGCTTCTTTCCAAGAAAAAAACCCTGAGGGGTAGGTTAGATCCCTGACAAAACAGAGTGGCTTGCAATCTTGGGAAAAGAAACTAATCAAGCTGATGATTAATAATTCCATCAAACATAAACATTGCATAAAAATTAATCTCAAGTTAATACTACTCAAAATACAATTCATATGTTTAAGGAAGAATTAAAATTAAACCTGAACATCAGCATTCTTAGAAAAATAACAATTGGGGGTATTTGGTTTGTAGCTACTTGTGTGCTAGTGGATTCTCTGCTTTGACATCCATGTTCATTCCTTATCTTCAGCATAGAAGATGTACATGTTCTCTTGGAAAAGTGGAAGCTGAAGGGAGGACAGCCTTTGGCAATGATTAGTTTTCTCTTAGGCCTCTGCCTTCGTGACACAGCCTTGCCCTATCTGACTAGGCCATAGTCTGCCTTCTAGTTTCTAGTTATTTTCCTGTATGCTACTCACCTTGTCCAGATAAAATGGTCTTCATCAAATGCTGAACTTGCTGCTAGAAGATGCATATCTTGCAGTATGCCTGTGCATGTGTGTGTGCGTGTGTATTTACAGGCTAACAGTAATAATGACTAGACCAGCCAGAACTCTCAAGTAGGAATTTTATTTATTAGCCCTTACCCCTGATTAAATCTAGCCGAAGGCACTTAATCCAGTTGCCCTGTTCAACCTTTGCCAATATAAGAAAGGCATCAAGAAAAGAAGAGGTCCCTGTGTAAAATGGAGTCTCTGCCTTCAAGTTCTCCCACATAAGGTTCCTTCCTTGGACGTTAGCTAATTTTGGAAATGGGACCTTTCTCTGCCTTGGTTTCCAATTCTGCACCTCACAGAATCAGGTTCCTTTGGAACGTGTCAGGGTAGGTTAATAAAAGACTACAGATCTGTTTTTCTTTACACTGAGTGAAGTACTCACCACACTCATTAGCATTGCTATTTAAAGACTTTCACGAAGGGGAAGTAAAAACATCAGCATCTCTCACACAAACAGTGATGAAGCTGAGGCCAAGCCAGGGGTGTTGGGGGAGCTGGAGAAGTCAAGTGTGCGGAGAGACTACCCGAGGAGAAGGTAACACCCTAGTTCTGCACTGTGGGCTGGTAAACAATAACTTCTCTTTCAGACCCTTACGGGCTACATTACAAAAGTAGTTCTAAACAAAGTGCCAGCGAGTCCCACGAAGCGGAGTAGCCGCATTAGACACTGAATGGTAAAGCTATGGACCTGTGAGGAGGAAGTGTACCAGGCTCTTAGGAGGGATCCAAAGACTGACGTGTTTTCTTCTCCTAAATCCCCCAACCGGAAGGTAACCGAGGCTGTGATTCTGACTTCAGACCCAGTAGTAGGCTCACAGCCTCCAGCGCAGCGCCCACCACACGCGAGAGGAAGGAGTCCCAGGCGCATGCGCGTGGCCTCCTCCTCCCAATCCACCGCCCTCCCACTTCCCACTTGGAAGGCCCCAGAAGCCCAGTCCGGGGAGCGAGCTTGTCTCGAGCCCGCGCAGCCTCCTAGCCCGGACCGGCGCCTGCGCAAGGGCTTCTCGGGCGCCGGGCCGCGGGGTTATTAGAGGTGGAGCGCCGAGAGGGCGCGCGGCAGGAGGCGGCCGCCGTTACGGCGCGAGCGTGGTCACGTGGTCGCTGGTCACCGCCGCCACCCCTTCCCGCCCAGTTCTCTTTCTGGTCGGGCCGGGCCCGGCTGGTTCCGCGAGCGCCCGCCCGCCCTACTGAGGGAGAGAGAGAGTGAAAGAGATTGAGAGAGAGAGAGAGAAAAAAAAAAGAGAGGGGAGGAGGAGGAGGACTCAGGGAGTAGGAGCTGGGGAACCCTTCTGCGCCACAGGTAACAATAATAATGATGATAATCGTAAAGCAGCCCGAGCGCGCCTCGCTTCACCTCAGTGCAGCCCCCCACATGCAGTGGCTCTGGCCCCGGCCTCCGCTCCCCCTTCGGGGCAGGGCCCCCTCCCCTGGCGTCTTGGCCGCCGCCGGGCAGGCCTGCGAGCCGCGGACCCGCCGCCGCCGCGCCCCGGGCCCCCTCGGTGCGCGCGCCGGCGGCGGGACTTGGCGCGGGGCCCCCGCCGCCTTCCCCGCGCCTCCACCCCGCCCCTTCCCCGCGAGGCCCAGGCCGACTCTGGAACCCGGCGGGTGGCAGCCCAGGGGGCCGAGCTGGGTGGCAGCAGCTCTTCCCCTCCCAACCCCCTCCCAACTCCCTACTTGGTTAGTTTCCTGTTCATTTTGGCCGAAGGCTCCATGCTTCCTTCCCAGGCCGGAAGAGAAGCGGGCCCGGAACCCGCCAACCTCTCGGCATTGCTGCCTTGAAAAGAGTCGTTCTTGCCTTTGGCCTTCATTTGTTGAACTCGGACGGAAGGTCCTTCACCTGTAAGAATGTACGAGTTTCCGGGCTTGTCAGGGCACGAGGAAAACTTTGCAGAGAGGAGAAGTTGGTCTTCCTGCCTATACTCTTCCCGCGAACACACATACAAGTGGACCAGAGTCTGGTCACTACTAGTTAGTAACATAGTGTAAGGAATGTGTGACCAGTGAGTGGTTAAAGATGAGCTTTTTGGACTCCCCCCGCCCCCACCAGTTAGAAGGCACTTTCTCGGGAGAGTTTGTTTTGTCAAGTCTGAATCCGACTAAATTTGAATGTGCATATTGTGTATTTTGGGGGCTGCATTTGCGCGAGAAATTCCCATTGTACTTTTAGTATATTAAAGTGTGGTACTTATAAAAGTATTTTAATATGCTGCTGCACAAAATAAAAGCTGGGAACACTAAATGCATTGTTTAAAAAAACTTGAAATTCTGGTTATCAGTAGCAAAGAAATTCATTTAAATACTTGTTTTTCTTTGGGCACTTCTGGTTCCATGTCTTGGTGGTTTTTCATGCTGTATGTCTGAATTCGAATGTAAACGAATACCTTTTAATTATTAAAAACCATCTGCGGCAGCGTCATGCAGAGAAGTGTACAACTTCAGTGACCATAAGAATCAGTCACCTGGTGCTCTTGTTAAAGAATTTGGAGTACTAATTCAGTAGATCTGTATGATGCAGTACTAAGGCACAATCTTTGAGTACTAAGGACTCAGGAAAGTTTTGTGCTAAGATATATTTCTTGTAGTATAGGTGGCTGGATAGAAGAGCCAAAAGGCAAAAGAATGCAGAAACCTTGTCTAGGAAACTACCTTTTGCACCATGAGCTAAATCTGGATCCCTGGGAAGGGAATAGGAGGAGTGCTTATACCTTGTCTGTGAAGTGTGGGACCTGCATCACCTGCCCTGTGATACTGTTTTTTTTTTTTTTTTTAAATTCTCTGTGTAGAAGTTCTGGGTAATTTTGGCAGAAAGATGTTCCACTGTAAGCAATTGAGTTTTATCAACATTAAGGCTAGAAATCAGGTGTCTTTGGATAAAGACACTGAGATACTACTGAGATAAAGATATGTTTTATTGGCCGAACTATGTTTCCTTATTCCTTGAAATGCAGCTTCAGTTGGGTGGTATATTCCTGAACCTTGGAAGCAATTTTAAACAATTGAGAGTCACACTTATCTGAGGGTGTACCTTACTGGATTCAGAATTTTTTCCTAATTTTTTATTTATAACAAAGTGTTTAAAGTGAGTGTTACATACAACTTCATCTATGTTACATAAAAATGGATTAAAAAACTTATGGTGCTGAAGATTGAATCTTGGACCTCATGCATGCTAACTAATATAGAAATATAGTGAAACTCGGTTTTTAATATCTTGGGCCCCAAATCCTGGAGTCTAAAGTTAGGTTGAGCCACTTGCTCCCCCCACCTCCCATATGTCACATGAAGAATCTTGGTGTTAAGAAAGATGGAGGAAAATGATGGAAGAGGTGACACTGATCAAGATGCAGTATACCCATAACTTCTAGAATTGAAACCCCTTTGTACAATTACTTATTAAAAATAGACATAATAAAGGCAGAGAAAGAAGATTTATTGCATGGTAGCCCTGGAAAGATAGTAAGTACTTCAGTATGCCTTCAGCCATCTTCAGGTTACAGGCATTGTCTTCAGGTTGTTTAAACAGGGAAAATGGAGAAAAGTTGGTGAGAAAGGAATGAGTAGTTAAAACAGTCCCAGGATGCATGTGTGTGGCCTGGTTGACCCTTAGCTCAGTCTTTGTCCTTGGAGAAGTTAACACTTTATTATTGGAACAGAACAGGAATAAATTGGTTGGCTGAGTTTTGGCTGTTTTATTTACGATGATAAGAAGAGGACATTGCTTGTTTGAGTGGCAGTTTACCTTCCCTACAGGGTATTTATCAGTGAATCTGGAGCCCAAGATGATTCCAAAGTTGACTTCAGCTAAGAATAGTTCAGATCTAAAGGCACTGATAAAAAGCTGTATGAATTTTAATTTACCACAAAAGCAGTTTTTAAAAAGTTGCCTCTTACAGTAGCAATTACTTTTAGTCACAAATTATATGTGTAACACTACTTTTGAAGCACTATAAGTGCCATGAACTGTTCTAAGCACTTTATAAAGTATGTTTAATCTTCACAATGACCTTAAAGTAAAGTGAGGCAGTGGAGGTAAGTTACATATCCCAAGTTTTACATGGCTGGGATTTTGCCTCGCTAACTTGACTCCAGAGTCCTTCCTCTTAACAGACTTCTATGGCTGCCATTTGTTTATGTATTTATTGGTCATGGGGCTTGAACTCTGGGTCTGGGCACTGTCCCTTCAGCTCAAGGCTAGCCCTCTACCACTTGAGCCACTGCAAGAGTTCCAGCTTTTTCTGTTTATATGGTGATGAGGAATCGAATCCAGGGCCTCATGCATGCGAGGCAAGCACTCTACCACTGAGCCACCTTCCCAGCACTGCTTTTTAAAATTATTTGTTAGAAAGTAAATTAATGATAGTTCTTTAGTATTTTTTTTAGTATTGTTGAGAATTAGGCGTTTTAATTTTTAAAAAAGGAAAAATATTGTCTATTCTTTATTTCTTTCATTTTATCCCATTCTGAAATGAAACTTGTCAAAATGTATAATCTCTTCTGATTAAGATGTTGCAGTTTACAAAGTTGTATTTTTCTTGTACTTGTGTGCCGGATCAGTCATTCTTTCTCAGTTTCTATGTCATTCTTTAAAGAGCTTCCTTTTGACTAGCAAGTTTTTTAGTTCTTTAGGTCCTGTTTGAACCTTCCGATCACCTGCCTTGGATATGTTGTTGATTTGTTCTGTTTGTTATCATAATGCTTATGCTTTAGATATTAACTGTTTCTCTATATTTTAATTTTACACATCTGTCTATATATTGGTAAATGGGTAAATTAAAATTTAGGCTTAGAGCTGGGAAAGTGGCTCAGTGGTAGAGTGCTTGCCTTGCATGCCTGAGGCCCTGGGTTCCATTCCTCAGCACCAATAAGCAGAAAAAGCTGGAAGTGGTGCTGTGGCTCAAGTGGTAGAGCGCTAGCCTTGAGCTACAGAGCTGAGAGATAGCACGCATGCCCAGAGTTCAGGCCCCACGACCGCCAGAAAAAAAAAAAAAAGGGCTTAGCTGTTGACTAGATTGCTTTTCATTTGGCCAGTAAAAGACAATAAAAACTAAGCACTGGTTGTTATTGTATATATTTAAATAATGAACAGCTAGAAAGGAAAAATTTTAGTATAAAGAGTTGTGGTATTTTGACCACTTGAGCAATAGCTCTACTTTCTAAAGGGTCAGCTTCTAAGTCGAATTATTTGTGTGTCATAAAAAATTCATGTCATCTTTCCCTCAATCATTCCCCCTCTCCCTTTTTCTCATTATCTGCACTGGACTTAGGAGTAGTATTTGAATTCCGGATCTAAGACATCTTTAACATGGGTAGACTGCTAGAATGGCAGTGTATATAGTGTTACTAGCACTTGAGTAATAGGAGGTGGTAGCATTGGGTGTTGGGATGAGGGGGCCTGTGTACTACTTTTAGTATCATCCATTTGCTATTTTTCCAGTAATGAAGAGTTTCAGAAAGAAGTCAGTATAAGAACAAATCTCTGGTTTAAATGCTTTATCCAATTCAACCTTAAATGTTTGGAAAAAATGCTTATCTACA